ATATCGTAAAGGCAAACGAAACTGAAAGAATACACACTAAAGATACTACACACACTATATAATATACACTAAATATAGAGTGTCGTAAAGGCAAACAAAACTAAAGAATCGGTTGTTATTGTTTAGGGATGAGGACGAGGTTGTTCACGACGGGAGGACACAGTTGCTCCACGTTCCTCGGCCGCAGGAAATCGACTCCACAAACGCGTCCACCACGATGAGGGTCAACATCGAGGGTATGAGATGTCAGAGTTGCGTGAAGAACATCGAAGGGACCATAGGCAGCCGGCCGGACGTTTTAAGCGTCAAAGTGGACCTGGAGGAGAAGCTCGGTTACATCGAGTACAAAGCGGAGGAAGTTACGCCCAACGAACTGATCGAAGCTATAGAAGACATGGGCTTCATCGCTTCGTTACGCAGTACTGACGAGAGCAGCTCCGTCGAGAGGAACCATGATAGTCGTTCGTTGAAATCAGTACTTGCTGTCAATACTTGCACGATACACATCGATGGAATGACTTGCATGTCTTGCGTGAAAACCATCACCGGTGAGCGAAGAGTTTCATCGAACGTGGTCGCCTGCTCGAAAAATAAATTAAAATAAGTAAAGTGAAAATTAAATAAAGTGAAATGAAACTTTTTTTATTTTTCTATCCCCGTTGGTAGAAACCTTGTCGGGGAAAACTGGGATAAAACAGGCGAACGTCAGCTTGGAGGACAAGGAAGCGACGGTTTCTTACAGCGACAAGGAAGTATCGGCCGAGCAAATATCAGGCTTCATCGAGGAAATGGGTTTCAACTCGTTCGTTAAAGAGGTGAACGGTAAGGTCCCAGATGAAAAAACGTCGACGAAGAACACCTCTGCACAGCTTTCCGCGGAGCTTTCTCTGCCAATGAATGGGGGCGGTGATGTGAAGGGGCCTCGGGATCAAACAGCAAAATGCCTTCTACACATAACGGTGAGTATCATATGTAAAAGTAAATGACGATTTATTTTCACGTTTTATTTATTTATCGCCTGAACCGTTATGAATCGGTGTATTTCTCAAAGGGGATGACCTGTGCTTCCTGTGTTGTTGCCATAGAGAAACACTGTAAAAAATTGTACGGTGTGAATAGTATCTTGGTCGCGTTAATGGCGGCCAAAGCAGAAGTCACGTTCGACCCGGAGAAGATAAGGGCGGTTGACATTGCTTCCAGCATATCCGAATTAGGCTTCCCTACCACGTTGATCGAGGAGCCTGGCACCGGTGAAGGGGAAATTGAATTGAAAGTAAGTTGTTTGTTAACACTAAAACAAACTAAAGTGGTCAAAATGATCAGTTTATAATTTTTGTTAAACACATAAATAGCTCATATTATATTACAAAGTATCATTGTATCGTAAAGTTTCTCAATTATCTTGTCTTGAATGTCTCTGATGAAAATTTTATGCCAATACCAACGATTAAAGCATAAAATTTCCATGAGAGACATTGAAGAAAAAAAAAAGAAAAATAAAGAAGCTTTACAATACAATGCAGAATAATTAATATACTGCATTTTGACCACTTTGGTAATTCTGGTGTCAATCGTTGGTGGCTCTAGTATTAAATTCCGAAGCCATCTGTTGGTCCACGATTGAATCTAATTGTTTCATCGATCGTTCTCATTGATTTTTTGCAGATCACAGGTATGACTTGCGCGTCGTGCGTGAATAAAATAGAATCGACCGTGAAAAAATTGCCAGGCGTCCATTTGGCCGCAGTTGCGTTGGCAACTCAGCGCGGCAAATTCAAATATGACGTGGAAAAGATTGGCGTCAGGGACATTATTGATTGCATTAATAAGCTAGGTTTCACCGCGATGTTATTCAGCAACAAAGACAAGGAGAACAGAGACTACTTGGATCAAAGGTAGACGCAGTATCCCAATTGTTTTTAAAATAAATAAAGACATTTATAGAAAGGATTCTTTCTTTCTTCTTGTTCTCACACAGGGAAGAGATAAACAAGTGGCGGACAGCGTTTTTGGTATCCTTGATTTTTGGTATACCGTGTATGCTAGCTATGACGTACTTTATGGTGATCATGTCCATTGGTAATAAAACGCACGAAGACATGTGTTGTGTGGTACCTGGTCTTTCCTGGGAGAATCTAATTCTTTTCATTTTTTCCACGCCAGTGCAGGTAACTTTGAGTGCTTCTTTGTAAAATAAAAACATTAACTGGAAATCAGTCTTTGACAAAATGATATTTACAGTTTTTTGGCGGCTGGCATTTTTACGTTCAAGCGTACAAAGCTTTGAAACATGGTACAACGAATATGGACGTCTTGATTTCCATGACTACCACTATATCCTATTTGTATTCAGTCGCCGTACTTACAGCAGCCATGATAATGCAGGCACACGTCAGCCCTCAGACGTTTTTTGATACTCCTCCAATGTTGTTAGTGTTCATTAGTTTAGGAAGATGGTTGGAACACGTTGCAAAGGTTTGAATCTTTCATTATTGTGCTTGACGCTAGAACTACCAAGGACACTAAAAGCATAAAATTTTCATCAGAAATATTAAAGTGGAAAAAAAAAAGAAAAACTGTGTAAAATACAAATAGAATACATAAGAAAAGAATCATTTAAAAATCTCTAAAAATACAGTTTTACATCTGTAATTAACAAAAATTATAGATTAGTCATTTTGACTACCTTTAGGTAATTCTAGTGTTAAATGTTTGCTTGAATGAAAAGCAATTGATCGTTTCAGGGTAAAACTTCGGAAGCTTTATCGAAATTATTGTCGTTGAAAGCAACGGATGCGGTCCTGATCACGCTGGGTCCAAACAATGAAATATTATCCGAGCGTTTGATCAGTATAGACTTAGTACAACGCGGCGACATCCTGAAAGTGGTTCAAGGTGCTAAAGTTCCCGTTGACGGTAGAGTTATATCGGGTAACTCCACCTGCGACGAGAGTTTGATCACCGGCGAGAGCATGCCTGTGCCGAAAAAGAAAGGATCGATCGTAATAGGCGGCTCGATAAATCAGAACGGGCCCCTTCTGATCCAATGCACGCATACGGGAGAGCACACGACGTTAGCACAAATTGTACGATTAGTGGAAGAGGCGCAGACGAACAAGGCTCCTATTCAACATTTAGCCGATAAGATAGCGGGCTACTTTATCCCTCTTGTTATAGCCGTCTCTATAGTGACTCTGCTCGTTTGGATAATCGTGGGATATGTGAATATAAACAGTTTACCGATCTCGCACAGCGATCAGATCAATAAGCACGGGATGAACAGAGAAGAGATTATATTTCAATACGCTTTCCGAAGCGCGCTATGCGTACTAGCGATCGCTTGTCCGTGCGCGTTAGGATTGGCGACGCCGACTGCCGTTATGGTTGGTACTGGAGTCGGAGCGCTGAACGGTATCTTGATAAAGGGCGCCGAACCGTTGGAAAATGCGCACAAAGTGAAATGTATCGTGTTTGACAAGACCGGGACGATAACGCATGGCGTGCCGATGGTAACGAAAATAAATCTTTTCGTAAATGAAACGGTTTGCTCGCTGGCAAGGTTCTTGGTCATTATTTGCACGGCTGAAACGAATAGCGAGCATCCAATCGCATCAGGTAAAACGTTGAGAATATTTTGAATGTTTAGATCTAATGCTCGATCACCAGTAAATTTGCTTTCTTTCTTTTTAAGCGATTGTTCGGTACGTGAAGGAGACAATAGGTTCCGAAGCAACTGGCCAGTGTATGAATTTTCAAGCAGTCGCCGGCTGTGGACTGAAATGCAAAGTGTCGCATATCTCGACGATGTTAGCAGAGGCGTTGAAGTCTGAGAAAATTCTGAACTACGTCAACGAGGTTAAGAGATTACCTTCATCCGGGATGCATGTTTTGAACAGCGTGTCGATTGATGTTACGCCAGTTACGAGCACCGGTCAAGGGAGGCAAAACTTGGAACTGTTGCTAAGTCCGGATTCTCACGGTGATCAAACCAGCCCCGATGATGTGTATGAAATTTGCATCGGCAACAGAGAGTGGATGCGAAGGAACGGTATAAATATACCGCAAGAGGTGGAGTCGAAAATGACCGCCGAGGAAGATTTAGGGAACACTGCCGTTTTAGCTGCGGTGAATAACGTACTGATAGCTATGATCAGCGTAGCCGACACTGTTAAACCGGAAGCCCATCTGGCGATTTACACTTTGAAAAAGATGGGTTTAGAAGTGATACTTCTGACAGGAGACAATAGAAAGACTGCAGTTTCCATTGCCAGACAAGTGAGTTCTCTTTTCATTCGGCAAGCTCGCATTGTTACTTGACAAATTCATGCGATATCTGTCATTTACGTAGGTTGGTATTACTAGAGTATTTGCAGAAGTGTTACCCTCGCACAAAGTTGCAAAAATCCAGCGTTTGCAGGATCAGGGCTTGAGAGTTGCGATGGTGGGAGATGGTGTCAATGATAGTCCTGCTCTTGCGCAATCGGACGTTGGAATTGCAATATCTTCCGGTACAGATGTTGCTGTTGAAGCTGCCGACGTTGTCCTCATGCGAGTAAGTCAACAAAATTAACGTTGAGAAATTCTAATACTTTACGTCTGTGCGACATATATGCTCCATTAATAATGATCTTCAGAACGATCTTCTAGATGTCATCGCGTGTCTGGATTTATCGAGAAAGACAGTTCTTCGAATAAGGCTGAACTTCTTGTTTGCTAGTATCTATAATCTGTTGGGCATTCCTATCGCTGCGGGAATATTTAGTTCTTTTGGATTCTTCCTTCAACCTTGGATGTCATCGGCGGCAATGGCGTTGAGCTCGGCATCTGTCGTTGGTAGTTCTTTGTTGTTGAAATTGTAAGTATCATGGATAAAAGAAATATAATTTGTGAAGTACAGTGAGCATAAGTTGCAATGTTTTTTGTTTGTTTTGTTTTTATAGGTATCGTAAGCCGACGAAGGCTACTTTAGAAACGCCAGAATACTTATCAGCGATGCACGCTCATTCTACCGCAACAATGATCGACTTAGACACGATATCGCTTCATCGTGGTTTAGATGATTCTGTAATACCTATTATGCATAGATCAACATCGACATTGTCCAGGTACGCACCAACTACTTCTATGCTCTCAAAATTTGTACGGAATTTTAATAATCCTACCGCCTGATAGAATTTCAGCAAAACTGGTTTTATGACATCGTCATAAATCGATGTTGCCTCCTTAATTGTAACTAATACTAATATGAAGGTGTTAGCTCTGTTGAATTTCATGTGCTTGTTATTTATCATTTATGTTATTAATATTGTATTAGCCTAACAACATTATTAAAAATTTAATTTATTTCAATTAATTAAAAGTTAAAATTATTAACTCAATTAGCTTAAACAGCAAATTTTCTATTAATAATCACAACATTTAAATTGTATCGTAAGTAAATTAAACAGGCTGTGAATTTTGAATTAAATTTATAGAAGCATTTTTTTTTAATCATACGATGATTTAGTATTAACCACATTTAAAACAATATAAGACTGATTGAAAAGATATTTTGTCAAATAAAACTCTGTGAGTTCTTGATATATAGTAAATAATGTGCTACAACAATTGCTTCAGAAGCACCTTCAATTTTATTGTAAATATTGTATTGAATGTAAATAATTAATATTAAATAAGTTACTTTTTACTGTACATCGATTTCAGTTATTGTAAAAAAAGGATTTTGTAAATAAATATTCATATTTTTTAAATACGCATATATTATCTATTAAATAAGTTATTTAAACCTAAGGATTAGCTTTCAATCTTTTGCATGCTTTCACAGTATTTCACAATATTTATTTTACAGTATTAACATCTTTAATTAATTACGAAAAAAATATTATATTATAATTATAGCACCTTTTTTCTTGGGCTAATTTGGCAGTGTTAACCTGCTTACAACAAGTAACAGTGATACATGAAGTATGTTGTAATTAATTTGGTTATTGAATTTATATTTTAGATAACATTTTAAAGCACCGTAACTTTCTTTTAATGCTTATATTATTGCAATAATTATTCATTAACAGTGCTACATTTAGGTCTCTTGTGTGTGTAATATTTTACTGTATATCTAGCTTAACACAAAAAGGTGTGACGTAGTTATAAGACATAATCTCATCTTTAAGTATAAGATAAGGTAATACATGTTTTGATTTATATGCCGATATTTTAACATTTCGTAAATAAATTTAACAATTTGTTTGTCTTGTTGAATTCAATTGCAGGCTATTTAGGAGATCTAAGGACGATATAGAAGGTCGACTTCTAAATGAGGATATCGATGAAATTGATTTGGTAACAGACTTTTCTGGTTATCGAAAAAATATAAAGGACCATACAAATATAACACCCTTATGACTTGTAAGAATATTATTACACGTATTATTTGTTAGTTTGCGTGCGTGTGTACATATATATATATATATATATATCTTAATAATATAATGATCTAACATTCAATCAATATTCGATTTTTGTCATGATATTTTATCATTACTGTAACCATTAAAATATATTTTTTTTATTTTAAACAGTTTCAGAATACTTTTTAAAATTAATTGTTAAATTTTTAATAGGTTTCACAAAAGGAAAAAAGCCAAGTAAAAAGCGAAGAAACTTAAAATAGTATTTTCAGAAATTCAATGTTTTTATTTTTTTATATCAAGTAAATAGTATTGTAATGTTTGTTTTTTATCTCATTTTATTTTAGAAATTATTTCGAAAATTATTAATTATTTTTTGTATTGTTGTACTTAATATATTTATTTTATATAAAAAAGTGCAATCATTATTTTATAAGAAAAATACAACATTTTTCAATAAAAAATATTATGAAAGTGATAGGTAAAAAGTTCATTGGGACCATAGTTTTGTTCAATTGTGTACAAATTTAAAATGCTTTAATTTTTAACAAAATATACATTGAATATAATGAATTTTTGCAGCTTAAACATATTCTAATTAAAATTTTAAAAGAGAAGACTGTCTACTAAGCTATATACCTCAATTTATATAATCATATTCAATTGTATTTTTTACCTATTATAAATATTTTAAAAATATGTTTATTTTTTTTATAAAAACGCAAATTAATTATAAAGAAAACAAGATGGAAAATAATCATGTAGAATAATATGTATATTAATATATTATGTTTATTTCATATTTAAAACTAAACTACATATATATGTATATTTAGTACATTGTTTGAGTTTTGTCTGAAAGAGATATTGAATTTGTATATATATTTGTCTTAAAAATTTATATTAGTTTTTATAGTTTATATACTATATAAAGTTGACATTAAAGTTGAAATTATAAAAAAAATATATATATATGTTTCAATATTTGTAATAAAAAAGTATAAAGTTTTGCATAAATCTAAAGTTTAATATTTAAATATTGTAATATTTTAGTTGTACTGATTGACTATGCTAGCACACAGTGGGATAAATGCATTTGTTTGTGACAGAATATCATCTGACATCATCGTTGAATTTATACTGTAAGCATTAAAGTCTGCTTGAATATTACTGATATCTTTATTGGAAATATGTGGTAAGTTTTTGTTATTCAAAGAACATGTATCTGTATGAATGGGAAAGTTCAAATTACCTTGTTCTTCTAAATGATCTTTTATCAGTGGCAATTGTTGAGAAGCAACAGAATTTTTCATATCAAAGTTTGATTCCATATTATTGATCTGAGGAGTGCAAATGGATTGTGCATTTTTTAATGAATGATAATTATTATTGTTGTTAATAGAAGTGACGTTACTGCATCTATTCAAATAGCAGTCAGTGTAAAAATTTGAATTCAATGAAAAATTGTTATGCGTTGAATGGTGTATATTATTTTGTTGTAAATTTTCGCTGTTGGTTAAATTTTCATACTGTGTATTAAACATGTTATAATGTAAATCTTTATTCATATGACTGCAGTTTTGATATTCTTCAGAGATATCTTGTGAATTTGCCAAATTGTATAAAAAACGTGTCTCTTCCGTGTCAGAAAATTTCATTGAGTCTCGTTTTGATTGAGCAAAATGTTCTATGTCATTCAATATATTTAAGTCATTATGTTGAATATTATGGTTCATGTACAAATGATTGTAATTATTATTGTTTAGAAAAGTTTGATCGTTGTAAAGATATTTATTTTGTATTCTGTTGTTCATATTATTTACAGGAGGAATCTCTGCGTATTTCAGTACATCTTGTTTTGGATTATCTTCTATATGTTGATTTTCATTATAATATGAATTTTCAATTGTTTCCCCATCATTTTTAGATTTTATTTTTTGCGTATCAGGAAATTGATCATAAAAGCGAAGCGTTTCATCAAACATATTGTGTGTATCAACGAAAAAGCTCGTAAACGATGGTAAATCCTTGTTAGTTCTATAATGCCCGTCTGATTTATATTTTTCAAATAAAATATATAATTCATCTTGCGTAAGCATTGGATACTTTAAAGATTGTTTGAACAGCAGATTCAATTGTTGAATTTGATACTTATATGCTTTCTTATTATATTTCAAAAGTATATTTGAGATGCTTGATTGTCTAGCAACTTTTTGAAACTTGCTTATACCCGTTTGCTTTATTTTCTGCTTCACATTCATTTTTTGGGACGAATCACATTCTTTTTTCTTTTTAACATTCTATAAATATACGATTCATCGTTTTTAATTTTTCCAGCGGATAGTAAAACTACAAAATAATGTAAACATCTTACCAAATTGTTTTTCGATATATCATTTATATTTTTATCTTCATTTATCTGTACCGGTGACTTTGACTCTTCCTTTCCTTTAGTCATATCTGAATTATCTGAATTTGTAAAAAGAAAATTTGTAAAAAATTTATAATACAATGATTAATCTAGTATTATTACACTAGTACGAAAATAAAGTGAAAAATTCATTCCACGTCATTACTTTGTTTTGAAAACAATAAATAATAAAACAGTATAAGTAACAGTTATTTATATATTTATATTTATATATAAAAGTATAACGTGTGAATATATAAATTAATCTAAATTAATATAAATTAATGTAAATATTAATAACACTTACTATAGTGCTTGTTTCAATTCAAAATCTTTCTTTTTGTCACTTTGATTTCTTATGTTTGAACCTTAGAGAACTCACGTGAATGGACGATAGTGATACATATAAATATATATATTGTGTATGCAGATACGTTTCTCGCTGAAGTATTAATTTGTTTCAGTTGAGAAGCTTCGTTATCTCTTTATTTGTCAATGAAAGGAAAATATTCAGTTCAAGTTATTGTTTGAATTACAACATGTATCATGAATCAACGATTAATCCGAACTCGCCGAAATTATAGTAACGTTTTATTATACGTATTTTAGTGAATTTCTCATTTTAAACGATAGTCTTTTATTTTCCCTATTTTACTATGTACGTTACCATCTTCGATGAAGCAGTATCACGATTTTGAGAAATTTTTGTTTAATCCTCTTCGTGATAAAACAATAAAAACGTGTAAAAATAACTTTACGTTAAATAATATTTTTTAGGGCATAATAAAGACAGGATAACAAGTAATTTTTTCATTTAGTACATTTAATGCAATATCATACATAATGAAATTGATTTTTTTTTTACTTGATTTAAAATATTAGAAACTATTATAGATAAATATAAATATAACTTATAAAAAGAACTATATAATATATTTGAAATTCATTTATAACAATTAAGGCATTTGCTTTGTTCTTCATAATCGTATCTGTGAAAAGAAACAAAGAAAAATGAAATTCTCTAAATATGTGTGTATCAATAGACGTTTTTACTAAATGTCAAGCTAACTTACACAGGCAACGAGCAGTTTTTGCAGAATAGTTCTGAGCAATCAATGCACTCCAAGAGACAAGAATTACACAAAATTTGATCACAGTAAGAACACTTGCTGAACATGCTTTGGTCTATCACTCGATTGCATTCACAGAGATCATATTTTGGTTGGATATCCTTGCATAATGCAAATGAAAAGAGAAACGTATTAATTTTGTATTTCAAACAAGAAAAACTTTGTGCCTGTTCCGACTTGCACAACATTGAAACAAAGGCATTTGTAACGTTGATAACAAGAATAAATTTATTCTCCAAAATGAATTCACTACTGTTACTGAATGGACTAACTTACCTTTATAGCTTTGTCCGCTGCTAATAATTCTAACTTACTGTTCAGTGTCATTTGTCTCGAATGACGTTCGTGTTTGGATTTGTACGAGGAAATTCTGGATGGCGGTACGTCGACAAGGTTTAATTCCATAGAAGTGTTTAATCTTTGTGATAACGTTTTTACACCTTTCTTCATTAAGTCCATTGTTTTGCCTGTACAAAGTAAAGTAAAAAAAAGTAACGGTGCGTCGTATATAACGTCGTTTGATTTTCGTACGTTGTTGTAACCTCATCGTACCGTAAATACTTTTCATTCGTTCCTCGTGAAAAACGCCGTTGTCTACTTGTTTCTGGCCTACGTGTATCTTTAACTGGGGCAGTAAGTTATCTTCGAAAGGACATGGACGTTTCGGCATTCTTTAACTTGATTTACCTCAATTTACAACAGTTCAACGATCAAGTAAACGGGCAAAAGATTCTCACATCATACTGCAACAAAATTGACACGATGCGACGGACTGACCATGTGATTCATACATAGGTGTGCGTGCGTGCGTATGCATATACATATACGTGCACACTTTACGTTGGATTGTAATACATTTGCGTTGCGTTCTGAAATTCTGCGTGAAATTATCAATTCTTTTAACAAGTATACGTGTATATCTACAAAATGGATACATACATGGATATGTATCATAAAGAAACATTATTAATGCATATTTAATTGTTAGAGTTCAACTGCTCGTTGTGTCACGTTGCGGTACAAAAGGTGATACATATTTAAATTATGATATCTAGGAATTAAGGTTACAACGGAATTAGTAATATTTGTTTATTAGTAATGTTGCATTATTATTACTTTTATACATATTTGATATTGGCCATCAACAAATATGTTACAATTTCCATCTCCCCACAATCTCGCGTTTATTCGTTTGCTTGGAAACTAACGATACTTTTTTTCTTTTTTCTTTCTTTTTTTCATAATAATATGTAATAATTCATAATCCACTGCGCGACAAGTACCGGTGGTACTCGTTGGTACAATAACTGTACACTGTGTGTATGTACTCGTGGTTTGCCTCGTAAGTAAACTATACAAAAAGTAGTCGAATAACACCGAATGGGGTTCGTTCAGATGAAACGAAACAAAACAAAACAAGAACAATCCTGATGTTAATGATTGGTTACATTTGGCGACACAGCGATCGTTTTTTCCCTAAAAACAAGAAGATATATACACATTAACGTACCTGTTTAAGGTCGGCAAGAAAGAAACGTATTTAATCGATTCGGTGGGACCGTGAGACACTTGAATCACAATACGCGTACACCGTTGCCGTGGTTTTTAGGAGTTTAAAAAAAAAAAAAAAGAAAAGAAACTAATTCCTCGCTACGCGGAACAAGGGTAAGTCTCAGGGCAGGATCGTTTCGTTTGTTCCTCGTAAAAAAATAGCTCACTGCGAGTGCGTTGAATTTAGCGCAAATCCCTAGTCCCTCTGAACACGATCGTTCAAATTTTACGGATACATTTGTCGTCGAACGCGGACACTCGGAAAGTGGTCGAGGTCGAGCTTGCGATCGATGATCGCATCGGCCAATCGGAGAATCGACGCTGAGGAATTCTCGAATTCTAGAGAACTACGCCCTCTTACTCGAAATTGTCGAATGATACATCGTGTGCACCGCTTACCACTTACAGATTCATTTGTAAGCTAGTAAGTGCTCGTACGTTTTATTTTTCACGATCGATTTTTTCGATTTTCGATGTGATACGATCATTTTCGTTGATTTCAGAGGCGGCGACTCTTCGATCGGCGACCACCCTCTGTCAGTTGCGTTCTCTATTTGCAAAATAAGCGACAAGTATTTCGTAACTTCGTCGTGATCGGCTGCATACGGTGAGTATCTAAATATTCATACATGCAATATGTACATGTATGTGTCATTATCGATCAGATCATTGTCCTTGATCAATGTCCATTTTTTGAAGTTACTTTTGTTCTTTAAAAACCGACCAATTTTTCAGTTTTCGGTAGCTGAACGAACGTTACACGTGTTTCAACGTTTCGTTAAAAAAGAAAAAAAAAAAGAACGAGAAAAATTTAGAATCTTCGTCTCGATGAATTAACAGCGCAACAAGGTGACACCAGCTGCAAAGAAGAATTACGTTTCACGTTGTTTACGTTTACGTCAATCTTACGACTTGCTTCTTCACTGCTATACGACGGACATAGCCTTTGACGATCGGTTCCCGTTGAAATATATTCCCGACGGAAGTTCAAACTCACGCAGGCAAGTGAAGCGAAACTGTGGTCTTCACGATGAGGAACACGATCTCGGGAAACACATTTTTCGGACTCACAGCCGTTATTGTCAGTTGTCATGGACGTTACTAAATACTCGGTACATACAACGCGTAACTGGTAAATCGAACCGCTGTACCACCGGGATCCTCCAACTATAACATTGATTATGCATCTCTGATATGATGAACCGTCTCGCTACGAAACTCGAGTGGACGACGATTTACCCTTTTGCGCGTGACAGTCGTGCTAATAGCGCGACTTGTACTACAAGAAGTCCCGACTCGAGCGTCCACAGTAGGGGAGCGTAACTCAGACGCTTAACCCTCTATAGGCCGAATATTTTTCTTGACCATAAAAAAATTTATGTAACGTAAAATTACAAATAAGTACAGATTAACAATGAATTCAGCAGACAACTTTGACATTTCAGAATAGAGGTGATAACTGTTCAAGAATGTTACTGGTTAATGAGGAGACATTGTACAACAAGACGTATACGCCATCTTGTGGAAAAAAGTTCAATTAATAAAATATATATCGACATATCAGTATGCGACTTGAAAGTTACACAGACCCATAGAGGGGATAAGTGGGGAAATGTATTCTGCGAATTGTGCCGAAATATCACTCGCTTTTTTTACTCGCCGTGCAAGTGTCATGTTTCACGCAGCCTTGGGGCAAATCGCACGGCAAGCTAGAGTGAGACAGTCCCAATTCTAACAATTGGTGGAGAGCGACGGACGCTTAAGTGGGGACCACTGTATTTGCTCTTTGCGAAAGAACTTCGTCGTAACAAGCTATTCGACAGGAAACTACTCAGATAGATTTCGTAAGTTGGCTTCCGATAATAAGTTGCAATCAGATAATTTGTTTTACGAATTTCAGATTTTCAAACGATTTCAAGCAATTATTATTTTATATTTAAGTTTAAATTTCAACTTCGAACGAGTTGGAAAGCGCTCCTACCCGTTATACCATTCTCCTATTTGACACGGAGATTGATCTTCTTTATCACTCGATGCAGCAACTCAACGTATTGTTAACATTCTTATAATCAGTGAAAGACATCACACGACGTACGTATAATTGATACTCGCAATGAGAATTGCGGAGCCGGTTTGCGCAATATACGACTCGCTGGATCCCTCGTGTACGACATTTCGATTTCGGAACGTTTTGTCGTCGAGATATGCCTGTATTAAAAGTGTGCCTCGTGAGATTGCTAAATCAATCGTGAAAGCAATGTGTGTTTTCGTTGCTGCGTGCTAATGAATATCGATTAATTAGCATCGAGGGTTTCCCTACTCGAAGAATATTTTGATCTTTCTTTCTTCCTTTCTCCCATCTTCTTTTTCTTATTTTTAGTTTTACGTTTCGGATAGCGATTTTGGTCGATAATTTTCTGACAGCCCTGAGTAACGTTGTTCCTTATTCGTACAAGTTTTTTTTTTTTTTTTTTTATTATTCCTTTTTATAATCGTCCGTTGCTTTTGCCTTTCGAATTAAACTCGTGACAGCTAAATAAATAAAACTGAAAATAAGTATGTGTTCGTGTGCTAGGCTGTGTTAGAAAATTACCAAAAACAAATTTGTCCCCTTGCACTTGTATCAATTCTAATAACGCAAATGCTGTTTCATGGAAATACGCGGTATATTTATGAAAGCTTCAGTGCCTGTCGTTATTGTATAAAAACAAAATGTTGTCCAACGCGATTTCCCAGTTGTTTTTTTTTTTTTTTTTTTTTTTTTTTATATCAATGGCGTGGAAAGGAATTACATTAAATTGAAACAGCACAAGTGCAAAGGGCAGGGAATTATTGATGGCGATAAAAAAAAAATAGTTGCGTGCTAACGTGAGAAGCGTCGAGGTATCAAAAATCGGTGCACACACACACATCGGCGTCTACGCGTGAATGGCGAAGAGATCGGTAGCCCAGAGAACAATACAGTGTCTTCGGGTTATGTTCGTGCCTCTACTAAATTTTCGCTAGCTAATCGGACGTTGTTAGTCAAAGTCGTGGAAAATCGGATTGGCGCCGATTTACCGTGCCAGGACAACGCTCCTAACATTCCTCTTTTCTTTCTTTCTCCATTTCGAAATTTCACACTTATCCCTCGGATAACAGATGTATCTATAAACTTTTTGAAGGCTATAAACTTTTTGAACGTAGAATCGTGAATAGTTTTGTTCACCATCGAAATGAAGCCAAACAATTGATGAGGATGAAATGTGAAAAAACAGATTCGACAAGATTTTTCTATCTTGTTCCGCGGGAGATGAAATTACAGGGTTTGTTCTCGAGGATGATGTTGCTTGGAACTTTGCGTCGAATGAGTAAGCTCGAAGGCGAATTCGGCGACGAAGCAGGTAATGGCCAGAGAACGAGCCACTTCGTTCTACAGGGTAGGCCAAAAATCCATAATTCTTTTTATTATGTATTCCTTTCAATTTAAAAGAAACAATTTTTACAATAATGGGAAAAATCGATGTTTGAACTTAAAATGAATAAAATTAAATTTGATTTAAAATTAATAGTTTAATTATTAGTTTGATTTAAAATTAATAAAATTAGCTTTTTTTTCATATTTTGATGTTTTA